TATTTACACTTTAGTTTATCTAAGTCTTATAGAATTAAGGTTAACAAATTAAACTTTAGCATTTAGCATTTAAGTAATGACACAGTTTCTTGCTTATTTGAAGAAATGTCCAATTATTGCTAAGCAAACAAAATCTGTTCATTCGATTCATTTTTTTTAATTTGTTTCATTAAACAGATTGGTGGGGGGTTAGGCAGATTCCTGAAACCCTTAGCCTGCCCATCTTTATGCTGATGAAGATTCTGAGTCATCCAAAATTTCAAGGCGTTTCGCCATCTCTGCAGGAAGCTTTCTCAATTTGAATTGAGAAAGCTTCCTGCAGAGGTGGCGAAACCTCTTGAAATCTTGGAAACCAAGTACAGTGGATATTTTTTTAATTTTTACGAAATGCCCATCTTTACCGAACCTCCTGTAACTGGGTCAACGGTAAAATGGCTGCTCTTCAGTCTATTTATCCTTAGGTAATTTAACTCTAGTCAATAAACAGTGAACCAGTTACTATTCTGCCTAAAGCCTGTGTGTGTGGGGGGGGTATTTTGGGTTCTCAGGTGAAAAGACCTAATCGCCAGTAGAAAGCATTATCACTCTCAGGAAAATATGCCACTTTCAGTCAAATCCTCAGGAATTATTAATTTATTTTTTGCAAATCTGCCATTTTAGTTAATAACCTCATAGCTTTTTATATCTTTTAGTTGCATTTTCCAAACTACATACCATTTATTTGGTAATCTGTAAGGTTTGTTTATTTTAAACACTGAAGGGAAGAAAATCACTGATTTCATTGTTCATATGTTTTAACTGATATACATGTGTATTAATATTTTTGGAGGAAAGGAAAGCTTCTCTGAACCCCCCCGGCCCCGTTCTGATCTGAGCAGCGTTCGTTCCTCCTTACATACAATAATGGAAAAGTAGTCACAGTAAAAATAAATTACACTTTGGTTGAACAGTAACATGTTATGAATGTCTGGTCTATAAACACCATCCTGCAGAGAATGGTATGGCATTCAAGGTGGAACAGACTGAGTGAAAACCTTTATAGAGAGTAAATAGGATAAATTTTCCAACAACAGTTGGTTTATGAGGGAAAATTATTTTCATCAAGGTCATCTGGTTTACTTTCATTAACGGATCTGGAACTAAACTTTCTTGCAGAAGAACCACCTGAAGGTCAGAATGACTGATTTTTTTCTGAAGGTCTATGTTGGACTTTATCTCAGAGAGAAGAAAGAAAAACAGGAAATGTGGACAAACAGCAGCAGCCGTGTTTCCCTGCAGGAACTGCAGGCTTCTGTGACATCATCAACATTTTATTTTCTCTCATCATTCATGTTACTGAGATACAAAGAAAACTAAAGGAAACCAACCAGAACTGGGCCATAGATTCACATGGTTCATAAATAAACAGAAAGTGACATCAGAATCTGTTCTCCTCAGCGCTGTGTCTGCTTCCTCTACTCCACTGAAGGCTTGATGTCTCGAGGAAAAACGTCCCAGGAGTCGAACCCAGGAACGTGGTTCTTCCAGTCAGGCTGAAGAGGAGGATTGTTCAGAGCCATCAAACATCCCAACCAGAAGCACTCAGAAGTCAGAGATCTTAGATCCGCCCCCACCTCCTCTGAGTTTGGACCTCCATTTCCAGGGAAACCAGTCTGAGGAGGAAATGTCCAAAGTTACACATGGATTCTTCCATCAGGGCTACAAATCAAACATCTATCAATCAAACCTTCAGAAGACCTTCTTTGCTGCTGTGGAACAGCGCCATCTGCAGGTTCTGAACCGTCAGCTGTCTGAACTCTTTAACCTGGAACACAGGAACCATGAAGCTTAGATCATCTTTAATGATGCAGCAGAGACATTTGCTGAAGAGTCCAGAACCTTCTGAGGAGTCCTTCCACTGCTGGACTCCATCTGCTGGAACATCTCCTCTATCTGCTGCTTCTTTCTCTTCATTTCCTCTGACGCTGCTCCAAAGGTTTTCTACAGAGATCAGTCTATCATCAGTCAAAGCAGAGCCTGGGTNATGCCAAGCGCGTTGCTGAAGGTTTGAACAAAACAGACTGTTCACACCTCCGGTGCAAGTCCAGCACCATGGACAAGTTGGTTCACCATGGGATCATGGTGGCAGGTGCTGATGAAGCTTTACCATTTCTAGGATTGTTCCTTCATATTTTTCCTTCCTATTTGTTGCTTAATACCATGTCTCCGCTCAATGATTCAGAGAATGATAGGATCCACTCTAATCCAGTATTCAGCTGTGACTTATGTTCAACTCCGCCAAGATGCTGGTAAAGATACTGATGCTTACATTTTTGCTTAAGTTTTACATTTTAATCCTTTTCATATTTTAGTTTTTTGCATATTGATCTTTGATTACTGAATTCCCTATCTGCAATGCATTTATTATATGTGTAGTAAAAATCTTTTTAGAAGTGCTACGTGCTGATGTTTATATGCACAACAGGAGGGAAATGTTAGGTTTATTCAATGATGATTATAAAATTTATGTATGTGTGCTTATGAAACATTTGAGCAAGGAGATGCTCCACTGTGTCTTGTGATTCAGTCAGGAGACCACCCTGCCTTGTGATTCTGGTGGAGCATCCTGTCTTATGAACTGTCAGAACAATACTGTTTTGTAACCATGTGTTATGTTCTGTTAATAAAAGACGGCTGCAGGAGGGGAGTCGAAGAAAGAGTTGGAAGTTAGGTTGGGCTCACTCCGCTCCTGCAGAAGCTGTTGTTGAAAATCCCTCTCTGTGTATTCAGTCCTTCTTTACAAACCTACATTTTTGAACCTAACATCAGCTTAAGATACATTTACTTCTTAATGAATTGTAAATAATTTTAAAGTAAATTAAATCAGCTTAATTAATTTTTATACAAGTTATTTTGCTCTACACATATATATTTATTTAGGCTTTAGTTTATCTAAGTCTTATAGAATTAAGGTCAACAAATTAAACTTTAGCTTTTAGCATTTAAATAATGACACAGTTTCTTGCTTATTTGAAGAAATGTACAATTATTGTTAAACAAACAAAATCTGTTCATTTGATAAAATGTTTTTTTATTTGTTTCATTAAACAGATTGGTGGGGGGTTAGGCAGATTCCTGAAACCATTAGCCTGCCCATCTTTATGCTGATGAAGATTCTCAGTCATCCAAAATTTGAAGACATTTCACCATCTCTCCACGAAGCTTTCTCAATTCAAATTGAGAAACTAAACATAGAAAAAGCTATGAAGTGCAGTTAATTGTTGACCCAGTGGAGATCCTGGACCTACAGCAAATTTTCTTTTCTTTATTAATCACCTCAGAAAAACCATACTGGCATTTAAACATACTAGGGGTAAAAGTGAAATTTTTGTGTGACATCAGGGCTGATAAATCTGTCCTGAGGGATAAATTACCTCAGATTAAACCGGGACCAAAATGGATCACTGTAGTCTCTGCTGATGGGAGAATGGTGGTTCAGCGCATTTCTGAAAAACAATTGGTAACTGATGAAGAGGGATTCACGGTGGAAACTGATTTTGTGTTAGCCCAGACCGTCCAGTAAATTTATTAGGCAGAGATTTGTTAAGGAAATTGCAATTAGTGCTGGTGCCTCCAGACAAAGGGATGGGAGTGAAAAGATGTACAGATTTTATGC